GCTTTAAAAGCCAATGGAAGAAGATACATTGGACCCCAGGAACTTTGCACCCATCCAACGTTGCCTTCCCTGAAAATGAAAGACTGATTCCACCCCAATTCACCAAATGCTCCTTTTCTTCTTTATTTTTCATTATATGAACTTATTCCTAACTATTTTTGACCAAAAAGATACAACAAATTCATCCCTGCAAGTGCTTTTCCAGGAAGGTATATGCGGGATAGCTTTTAGCTTTTTTTTTTGGGGGGGGGGGGGGGGGTGGGCTCGGGGGTTGGAGTGGTTAGATATTGGTGATTGCCATTTGTCAATGGTTAAGAGAAACCATGGGTACCAGTAATTCCATTCAAACTTTTAATCAAATTTCGCTCTCTGACATTAGTTTTTCAACTGCTGGGAGAAGCCAAGTAGCTCTCAAAATGCCATTCATTGTGCGTTTTCGTTTCCTTTCCTACTCCAAATTATATCTTGATGTCTCATCCACCTTCTACTCTTAGGTTTTTGAAAAATCTCTATATACCTACCTTTCACTAAACCTACCTTACCAGAGAGATCGCATCCTACTTCTATCTAATTTATAACAAGTTTGTTATATCTCTCAACATACCTTCTTTATGAAAGAGGGAGGAGAGAGCATGAATCAACCCGATAGATCCACAGCTTGTGTCCCAAACAACGCCTTATCCACCAGATCAGATACGCACCAAATTTGGTGACAGAAAAAAAAAGTATGTTATAATTAATTAATTAGTCTTTATTTTCTTAAATTAAAAGAAAAACAAATTAATATGATTTCTTTAACCAATAAATAATTTTAACTGCATTAATTGTTTTTATTTAAAATTATTATCTATGAAATATCAAAAATTATATATATGTGTTATTGTCACGAGTTCACATTCAACTAAACATACATACTTATTAGATGAAGGAAAATTCTTATTTAAAAATTTAAGATACATTTCATTTCTTTCTTACATGAATTTTGTTATATTCTCTCTCACCAAATTGAGAGATTCATTTTAATCTAAATCTATTTCGATCTTGATATTTTTTGTCAAGATTTCACATTAGTGAAGAATTTGATAAATTTTAATATTATTTATCACGAGTTTACACGTTTAATACAAAAAGCATATATTTTATATTAAAAAAATTATTTATAAATTCAAAATTTGTTTATTTTTTGCAAATTTGAAATTTGTGACATTATGACTTCCCCTTTTCGTTGTGATTGATATTTTATAATGAGACTTCATGGCCCAACCACTAATAAACTAAAATTTATGCCTTACATTTCAAGCTACCAGTTAGAGAAAAATATGTTTTTAATTAATTTTTTGAAGAAAAATCATTCAACTTAGCGCCTTCCCCAAAAGAATACTTCAATAAAAAATTATTAAAATTGAAAAAAGGAGGGAAACAAACTCACTTTTTCAAAAGCCAGAGCATATGGCAAATCCCAGATCTATGACAACTTGACAATAATAATGTTATAAAATTAAGTTTGAAAAAGAAACTCAGAATTAAATATATACTATAAAAGAAATCGTTTAAAATAAGGGGATGGACGAACAAAAAAGGTGATTAGAACGATAATTTATACAATAAAATATACTTAATCAGACTGGGATTTTGTCTAAAATCGAGGTCACTGTGTCAACATCTCCGTGTGGCAGTCCATCGATTCAACATCGTCAAAAAGAACTATTTTTTTCTATATTTTATTTATTTATTTTAAATAGTACCATATAGTTACTATGGAGAGAAAAATTGATTGGAGAAAAGATGAGGAGGAGGAGGACGAGCTATAAATGAATATTATTGCCTACAAACACTTTCAACGGTTCAAAATTATTATAGAAAAAAAAACAATTTTTTAAGATGAAAATATGGGTAATAATTTGACATATGTCTCCAAGTTGATATTTACAAAATAAATAAAGTCTCTCCTAGATTCTCCTGCAGTGATAGATAACATAAGCTAGATGTTAATAACGTTTTAATAATATCGTTTGAAATGAGAAAAGGATAACATAAATTGATTAAACCAGCCTGTCAATTCTTTTATTTTTTAAAATAAAAATGACTCACAAAAACACTAAAAAAACATTTTTTAAAAAATAAAATATTCCATCGAAAAAGTTCAGATTTTGGTCGGAATTGATCTTTACCGACAATTATTTGCCCCTCTTAGGTATAGAATTCACTAAATAAAAAAAAAAATCAAGCTATCCATTTTTGTTTCAAATTAAAAGACGAAGTTATATAACAAAAATAACCAAATATGGATATTTATAACATTATACCTAAATAAATTTGGTAGAATTTTCAGTTTCCAATTGCAATACATTCTGATCATCTGGTTGGTTGAAACGTTCCCCACAGCCATCATCTCGTGAAAGGATTTAAGAAAAGGTGAAAAGCCATTTTGGGATTGGTGGTGTCAAATACTAGGTAGCAATAACAGGCTTTTGCCAAAAGATTTGTCTGTTTTTAGTTGGTGTTATCGTTTGCTTTGGCTGGGGATGAAAAAGAAGAGAGAAGCGATTTCCTTTTCTTTTTCTTTATTTCTTTAATAGTTAGGCTAATTATTATTCTTGTAATTTGTAGCTCACTTTTTAATCCGTCACAACGATTCCCTCAACAAAATTTTAATGAATTTTCGTCGGATTTTTGACAAAATGTTAAAAAAGAAAATTTTCGTTGGCAAAAAATTATTTACTTTAATGGCAATCAACTTATTGCTTTTTCCGTTCTCTGGTGCAATACTATAAACATGAGGAGACAAATACTGAACCTTTCCATTATTCTTTGTTTGATTCCGAAGTTTGTCTCAAAAACAAGTAGTAAACCAACAATAATGGAAAGGAATAAAGTGATCATAGTTGTCGGTTTCTTTCTTCCTAAATAATCCGAACAAAATTTCCTTTTCACCCCCCTCCCCTCAAGCTTGCTCCACATATGGCTTGATTCCTGCTCTTAATTTCATAAATCATAGAGGGCAACATGTGGGCGAGAGAGACCAATAGAAAACCCCAAACAGGGTCATGTGATTTGTTGGGAGTATCCCTGAAGTGTAATCAATGGAGATCATGAAAACGTTTCCATAAACGTGAGTAAGAAATCGGGGGTTGCAATGAAAGTTCCAATATTTCCCTTGAAATGGACGTGAAATTTAAATGATTTAAACGAGGGCAGGTAGCCAGCAAAAGGACGCTTTGTTTTGTTTTGTTTTGTTTTTCAAGTGACAGATTGTTTTCATTAAGGTTTGTTTACATTGCTTTCAGCCTTGTTTTCAGTTATTTACCCTATCCTAGGGGGCTAACCCGTAGCAATCTTTCGCTAGGGACAACCCCCAAAAGTAGATACCTCCATCCTGTCGGGGACAAAACCATCTGCCTCTAGTCTATAGCAAACTCAACAACCACAAGGAAAAATGTAGCACATCCTGATTGGACTGCAAGGTATCTCATTTTAATAGATTTGGGGTTTGGGTTTAAGTTTATAGCTAAATTAAGTAGAAAAAAAAAATCTAAAGCAAATGAGAAAGAAATTAACCTAAAAAATCCAACCAATGCATAAAATGCAATAGTGAAAAGGCCTAGGTAATGTAACTTCTAAATATTTTGGGTAGCCATAACCCAACCAATTGTATTTTTGGTAAACGTTGAAAGGATATAAAACCCCCAAAATCTAAATTGAAAGATGCCTGGTTTTGGAGTTAGGATTAGAAATTTAAAACATTTGTAACAGTTAAATAGTAATAATACTTAACTCAATTTTAGTCTCTCATGTCTATCCTTGTCCATTCATTTTTAAATTGAAATGGACAAATGGATGGTCATGAAGAAAATAATTAAAGTTACAAGGCAATACTTGGACTATTGATAATATCAAGCAAAATAAGTGCTAGATCAATCTTAGGATACTTTCTTCTTTACCTTCTTAATAAAGTGACACTTACCTATAATCATGGCCACCCAAATATATTTTCCTCTAATCAAGCAAGAAAATAATCTTCAACTCCTAACTTCCTTTTTATTTTTCAATTTTACCAATTTCCCAATTTTGTTTGGTTTCCCTAGCAATAGCCATTTCCAATTTGGCTTACACTAAACAAAGAAAGCCAGCAATTTTGAATCTGAATTTTAATATGACCTTTCTTTTCCTACAATGAACATGAATAGGCAACAAGTGAGATTTTTGCTTAATTTTCAACCTCATAATTGCCTTTTAAACATTGCTTCTTATAATAATTTTATTCATAATGAGAACATATGTACAAAATTAAATCATAACCACGAACAAACAATCCTTAACATAAATAACATATATATAGAAAAAGAAAAAACTAAAAAATAACTAATTTATTGCTTAAATGTAAAAAAATAATATAAAATTAAATAACAAAATAAACTCACAGATGGTGAGACATGAACTTAAAATCATTAAGTAAAAGAAGTTAATTTTGTTTTTAAAATTTGAACTATATAGATAATGTGCCATTTAAAAAAAAAAATTCAACTAAATGTAGCATTGATCCTAAACTAACAAAAAATAAAATAGTGCATAGGTTAATGGTTGAATTTTCTACATTCAAACTTGTTCCAGTATTTATTAACATTATAGAAAAAATTAGTAGTCAAAGAAAATGAAGATAAGTATAACATGTGTATTAGCTGTTTAGAGATGAACTGATGAACTGATTAACAGAAGTAAGCAGTATTAATCAACTGACAACTACTGTCAGTAACTCCTTACCCTGGGATAAAAATGTATTTACCCACATCCTTAAAAGGGAATATTCCAAATTCTCTTAACGCGTAAAGTAAGTAATTCAACCACTCGCGTCAGCGGCACGTGCAGTTAGTCGCGATCGAGTCCTATTTGTTTTCCACTCTAACGCCCGGACCTTTTCCTCGTCCAAGTCGGGTCCGTTTTGGCGTTTCCAACTTCGCTGCTTCCCTTTTAGACAAGCGAAAAGAAAGCCGAAAATTTAATAATAATAAAAAAAATAGAGCAGCGTAAAAACAGGCTTTTCTGTCCATGATCAGATCAACTTAATCTCAACCGTCGGATTAAACCGTCAATTTTCTTTTTCTCTCTCGAGAAACCCTTCTCTGCCTTTATAATCCCTCTAGGCTTTTCTCGCATTCTCTTCAGATTATTTCATTCTTTTTTCAAGAGCAAGGAATTCGAAGTTCTCTCTAGAAGCTTTTTTTTCCCCTGTCGTACTTTTCAGCGACGGATTTTGATTTTTCCGGCCACATTACCGGTCGGTAAGGTTTTGAATTCGTTACTTCCTTTTTTTTTTTCCCTTTAAATTATACTTTCTAGAATCTGAAGTCTTATTTATTTATTTTTCAATTGTTTTTTGTTTTTCGTTCTTTTTTTTAAAGAAAATTTTCAATGTCGAGTTTTCTTAAGAAATGATTTTTAAAACAGTTTGTTTGGGGGAGAAATTTATTTCGAAGAAAGCGGATAAGGCTTTTGATTTTGATTGATTGATTGATAATTTTTTTATTTTTGTTTAATCTCATTTCGTTTTCAATTTTAATTTATTGGCTATTGCATTTACTTTCACAGCTACGAAAGAAAGGATTTTTTTACGCTTTAATTTTGATTACTTCCCTAAATTTTTATTTTTGGAACAATTTCGATAGTTTCTGTTAATTTTCTTTTTTTTTTCGGATTTTATGTTGAGCCTTTTCTTTTTGGACCAAGATCTGTTGATTTAGCTTGCATCCCTTTTTTCCCTGTTTTTTTCTTATATTACTTTGTTTTGATTTCAGAGCTGATTAGTATTTGATTTCTAATTGATGTTGTGAATGAATATGCAGGGTTGAAATGGATATGCAGAGAGAAAATAGTAAAGCATAGGCGCTGTAATCTAGCAAGTGCCTTTTTATTTATTTTTTTTGTTTGCCAGTAAATGGGCTGCTTTCAATCTAAAGTAACAAGACAATACCCCGGACACGAAGACCCTATTACTCTCGCTTCACAAACTGCTTGTAAGTTTGCAAATAATTACCACTTTTTGTTCATTGCATGTATCCGATTGTCTGATTGGTTTTCTACGGAAAAATAGTGTTTTCTGAGCCTTTTTTTTTGTTTGTATCAATGCAATTTGTTTTGGGGTTTTCAACCATTTAGTCAAGACACATGATTCTGTATCCAATTAAAAAGGAAAGTTTGTAAATTATTCTGGGTTTGTTGTTTTTTGATGATCTGGGGAATTTTTGTTTCCTCAAAGATTTGGATTAGTCAATCAGCTTGGGAAGATTATGTAGCTTACTAACCTTGCTTATTTTTTTGCTGATGTTTATGGAAAAGTTGACTACTTGTGTGGTTTTCGTTGTATCTGCAGTTAGTGTTAGTGAAGTTGAAGCACTCTTTGAGCTATACAAGAGCATCAGCAGTTCTGTGATTGATGATGGGCTGATTAGCAAGGTATAATTCTGTGCTTCCTTTGTGTCAACCGGATTTTGACTTTTCCTTAATGCGGTTTGAAATTAGCATTATTACATCTGATGTCGTGTTTGACTTTTTGATGTGTTCATGGTTCTCATGACTTTGCTTTTTGATTGTCTCCCTTCCTGGCTGCGTCCTTACCATTAGAGGATTTTTTTCTCATTGTTTCTTTTCTGTCAAATTTGAAAATTTGGATGCAAAATTTAATGCCCGTTTGACTTTGCTGTTGTACGCAGGAAGAGTTTCAGTTAGCTCTTTTTAAGAATAGGAAGAAGGAAAACATTTTTGCAAATCGGGTAATATATATTTTTTCTTTTACTGTTCTGAGAAATACAATATTTCTTCGAGTTTCATTTTGTTTTATCTAAATTATGGTTGACGGGCATTGGAAGTGCTAGCGGTGAGCAATCTAGCTGCATCATTATCTATAGAGTTGAAGTTTGTTTTGAGGGCATGTTTATCACATTTATCTTGTAGAAATTTTATGTAAGAATTCCTAAGGCTTTATGGGCGATGTCTCTGAGCCCAATCATACATTTATGATTCAATAAATCTGGTTACTTTTATTCTATTTCACAATTGCTTCTATTTTGACCATTTGTTCTGGTATGATGCTGTCTTGTTATGAATAAAACATCAGAGATGTGCCAGCCATGTCCAGCATTGTTTTTAATGGTCATTATATTATTTCTTTTGGTTAGGCATTGGCTTACTGCAAATCCTAATACTGATCATTGTTCCACAAGGTGGCTTTATGGGAATGTTAATGGCATCAGTGAAAACATTTTCTATCTTTTTTAATATCCTGGGGGCAAAGTCTTTTAGTTTTCTTGCACAACATAGTGTAGAGCACTTTACTCAGTCTTAATTTGCTTTTGGAAACATGAATTTAGCACCTATATCAAAGATGGTTTTGAATTGGGCATACTGGGGAACATTTTAAAGATTTGAATTAGTTTATTTACTCAACCTTCTAATGCATGCAGATCTTTGATTTGTTTGATGCTAAGAAGAAGGGAGTTATTGATTTTGGTGACTTTGTTCGAGCACTCAATGTCTTCCATCCAAATGTCTCGCAAGAGGACAAGATGACTTGTAAGTGGACAATTAATGTAATTATGTTGAATTGTATGTGTTAATCTTCTGTCTCATTTTTAAGTTTACGGTTTTATATTGCAGTTGCATTTAAACTTTATGACATGGATGGAACGGGTTTTATCGAGCGGAATGAGGTATGTTGGGCCTGATACTTTTGTTATTTATGTATCATGGTATCGTCTGGATATATATTTTGACATAGTTACATTGTTTTGAGTAAACAGTTTTTAAAGATTACAGATTGCTGCATATCATCCATATTTATATTTTGATTCAGTTACATTTTTTACGCAAACCTCCTTGCAGGCAACTTTATCTTATGTGATTTTGGCAGGTCAAGCAAATGCTGATTGCACTTTTATGTGAATCTGAAATGAAGTTAGCTGATGAAACCATTGAGGCAATACTTGATAAGGTGAGAGCTTGTTGTGGTATGGTTGCGTAATGTAAGTGTTTAGTACCGTTGAAAAGTTGTCAAACTTTTTGAATCAGTAGTTGCCTGAATTACTGATTACTCGGAATTATTACACTCTTAACAATATCTTGAATCGAATACCTCCAGTTAAGAGTATTTCATGTGACTGCCCAGATTTAGAGTGAGAACAGAGGAAAGGTTCCTACATTTTATTCTCATTGTTGCTTATGTTGGCAATGTATTAAGTGGTATTTGTCCATACATGTGATATAATCATCAGGCTCTTTCTGGTGAACCAGAATATTTTAGTAGTCTTAGGTCATAAAATATTTGTCTCTTAACTCTTTAGTGGGATTTTACTTTATTTTGCAACTTTTTCTGACCCGTGGGGATTTTTGTGAACAGACATTCTTGGATGCCGACATTAATCAGGATGGAAAGATAGATATAGCTGAATGGCAAAACTTTGTCTCCCGTAATCCATCATTGTTGAAAATCATGACCCTCCCATACCTTAGGTAGGTGCTATCAATAATGTTAAGCTTTACTTGGAAACCTCACTCATCTGGAAGCTCATCCATTTTGTAATATGAATTCTGCAGGGATATAACAACAACATTTCCAAGCTTTGTTTTTAATTCTGAAGTAGATGAGGTCGCCACGTGATTGGGGGAGTATGTGCTTGGGTTAGCATGTTCATGCATTGGATTGAAAGACATTTCTGCATGATTTGTTGACATCGAGCGTCTTTATATGATGAAAGTATGGTTAGATTTTGTTGCAAGGCTAAAGCTATCAAGATTGCAAAGGATAGCAGCTAAATATTCACTAGGATGGCTAGTTGATTGTATAGGCATTGTAATTAACCTTTTCAGGTGTTCTCCATTTTTAATCATTGTTTTGTAGCAAGGTAATATCAATTCAGCAGTAGATTAGTGTTAATTCAGATGGATTGCTCGAATTCCCGCTCTAATACCTTAGTAATTACAAGGTTCTAATAAACAAGGAGGTCTAGAAGAAATAAAATTTTCAAGTTGGTTGTGGGGTGGGGTGGAGTGGGGGAGAGATTCAGAAAGGGGAGGTACAGCGACTTCCAACTACCAGGTCGGCTGGCCGTGTTGTAACATAACTACAAGTTTCGGATGTGTGCCATGTGCCACCTTTTGGAGTAATTGATCTCCTTTGGTTGTGGGCTCCTTTTGAGTTAACTCTTTTGAAAAATGGTTTACTTGTTGATTGGAAATGAAAACTTTTCTAAGCTGTAATCAACTCGATCAGTGTTATGTAAAATTTCATTTCAAAACATCTTCCCGGAAAACAATTGTTTACAGGTAGACCTGTCCGGGAATTTTGCCTCATTAATTCCCAATCTGAGCTCCACAAACTGTCCTAGCTTGCCCTCTGCCCTTGCCAGCGTGGAACATCATCAGATTCGCATGGACCCCGTATGGACCATAGCCAAGTAATGAAACACCAAAAATTTCTGGCTTGGGCTCTTGTTCTGGGGAATGCTAACCCATGAGCTACTCCATAATTCGAACCGCATGCCCAAGGTGAGGACTAAGAAGCCCATCTTGAAAATAAGTCCATAGGCATTGGATTGTGCTGTGCTGTTCAATCAACATTTAAGATCACATGCGGTGAATTCGACTGTGGAGGGGTCCTCATCCTCAAAATGGTTAGAAAGAAAAATCTAACTGCAAGTGCACAAGGAACTGGCAAGTGGCAACAAGTTAGGTGTCAAATTTGATGCTTGAATTACACCCAATCCGATTGGTTTGGATATATATGATGCAAAAGGAGATGACAATGCTGTCATAACATCTAAACTAATTCTGGTGGTATATATATACAGACTGATCCACAATATCTCAGCTTTTCTCAAGAAAATAACGCAAAGGTTCTTTAACAATGTCTCTCTCGAACGGTTCTTTGATGTTCTTTAATTATCCAACATATCTGTTGCAAAGCCTTCCCAGTCCCTGCTACTGCCTGACCCAAGCCTAGAGAAGACATGAGCACGAGCTACCCCCGAACCTACAATATTTTTTTAAACAACTAATAGTCAGACAAGATCAGAGGGTAAAATTTATTACAGGAGACATTCAATCACTGCCATAACTTGGTGAACAGACCCTGTCACCAATGTCACCAAGAGAACCTGAGAGACAACGTAAACCTCTCAAGAGCATTAGCCAAAAATGAAATTACAATAGATATGTACGGCAAGTTATGTTGACGTACGGTCTGGTTCTCGATAAATGCAGCAAGCCCTCTGTCTGATTCTGGACTAGGGGATCTGCTGCTGCTGACATATCCTAGGTGAAATCTTTCAGGCCTACCAAGCAGAGTGCAAAAAGTTGTACAATGCACCGACCAGGATGACGCAGGACAAAAAATGCTACATCTTGTAATTAAGTCAAGAGCAAAAACACACCTGTTGAAGTAAACAGCCACATATGGAGAATCACTTTTCATAACATTTGAGTATATAAGGAGATCACTTTCACAAATCTTGAAGCCGAAACGGGCGCTTGATCGATCGGCGATGTCGATTATTGGCGTAACTTAGAAGAAAATTTTCACCAAGCCTAAAGGAACCCAAGCAAGTCAGTCAGGCTTTAACGTACAATACTTGCTGAGAGTACACCCATCACGTAAGCGGACACAGACAAATATTATGCACGTGTTTAACAAAAAGAGAAAAGAAACGGATCAAAGTAACCATCAAATCTCTAATATTTATATATTTTATTTAATTTGATATTTGTATTAAGAATTAAGATAATTTAATTTTTTAATTTTAAAAATTATTTTAATTTAATCTCTAAAGTCAAATTTTATATCTAAAATCAAATTTAGATGAATAACTTATATTATATTAAAATAAAATAATATAAAAAATTAAATAATTTTTATTTTATAATAATATAAAAATTTAAAATTTATTAAACTTAATTTTTAACTTGCGCTAATATCAAATTAGTAACATAAGTTGATTTAATTACAACTTTTATAATTTATAGATATTTATTCTTTTAGAATCATACGACCCTTATCTAATTTACCTACTCAAAGTTTCTTATAAAACAATTTTATTCAAGTTCAAATACCGTAATCAAAATTTGTTAGATTTAAATTATTAATTTAAATTTACAAAAAATATAAAATAAAATAATACAAATATTTACGATATAATATTTACAATTATATTTAACTCTGGCAGAACAAATGTAGTTTTTAATCAAAGAAATTTAAACCTAAAAAATATAACCTAGAATAATAAACAAAATAAAAACATAAAAAAATAAATAAATAATTTAAGAGATATAGTAGCTTAGATTTTATGGGTGTAATAAGAGGTTTGTTATATTCAAATTAAGCGAAAGAAGTTACTTTTATAATCATCGCTAACTCTATATCTCCCTTCTTCATTTGTTTAAAAGAAAATACTAAATCAACTTATTTTGTTCATTTAAATTCAACTCAAGTTTAAGTCAAATAAATAGCAATTTTTTGTACTATTACAAATAGAAAAAATAATTAATTTATTATTTTATTCTAACATAATACAAGTTATTCATCTAAATTTGACTTTAAATATAAAATTTCTTTCAAAATTTTATTTATTGAAGGGGAATTCAAACTTAATTTTTGTAAAGAAGATAAATTAATATACATATTTTAAAATCAAATAATCAAATAAGAAAATATTATATATATTTTTTAACATCATAAATCTTCTATACTTAAACATTTAGCTTATTAATAAATATATCTATCATCTACTCAAATGTTTATTTTTTAAAATATTTTTTTAATTTAGTCTGTCAGTATTTCAATTTTGTTTAATTTAATTCATTTATTTTTGTTCAATTTACTTCATAGGACGTGACATAATTTTTTTTTTGAAAATTTTTTAATGTGTCACGTGGCTCCGACATGTCAACATTTTCACGTCATCGTATTAGTGTTACGTAACACTATCATGTTATACTATTAGTATCACATGACATGCTATGTCACCAAAATATTGTACGTCAACGCTAACGTGATTCTCTCTAATCGTAAAATCAAATATTATTATAAAAATTTTAAATTATTTTAATTTTAAATATATAAATTATATTAAATAAAATACATGAATACAAAAAATTAGTAAATATTTTAACCGAAGAGATGACGAAGTATATCCTTGCAGACATCTCTTTCAATGTTTTGACATTGGAAGTTTCTTGGAAACTAGCCGAAGAAGCTTTCAGAAACTTCAGTGGGGGTTCCGGAGATTTGGGTTCCAGTGCAGCGCTTAAGCTGTCTTTTCAACCTGGGTTTTGAACCCAACCCTGTGTTCGGTCCTCTTCACTCTGAGTGAACCATAGTATGTGGAGATTTCCAGAACTTCAAAAATTTATTATCAACAACAAAAATAGAAATAAAAAAAATCAGATTTTTAAGGCCTACAAGAAAGCTTTAATTTTTGAGCCCTAATTTTATTGGGAATTAATCTCTCATAATAATTTTCTTGTTTGGTGAGATGCACCTACGGTAATTAGTTAATAATTAATTTTAGTAAACTTAAAAACTAAAGATGCTCAATTTTAACATACAATAATTGTTAAAAAAATAATTTTATTTTATACTTAACAAGCAGGGTAATTTGTGTAATTTTCACATAAAATTTTTTTATCTAACTTACTTTATATTTTTATTAAACATTGAATTTCTGGTATGATAGTTTTATAAATATTATCTTTACCCTTAAACATGAAATTTTGACTTCATCACTACTTATTATAATAAAAAGTAAGATTATGGTGACCATTTTATCATGCATATTATGTCATGGCTTTAACACGACAAATAATTTTTCTCATCTTCTCCGACAAGGATTAATTTTCAAATCTCGAATTCCACATAATAATAAAAAACAAAAATTCCATACCAACTTTTTTACTGTATTAACTTAACCTGACTCATATATATATATTTAGAGTGGTAGTGTGTGACAAGGAAAAATCCAATCCAATATGGTTCCAAGGTGTAAAATGAAAACCGTGTAGGGCCGTAATCATTATTGTAGAGTCATCTTCCATAGTCCAGGAAAAAAGCATGCATGCAACTTAATGGTTGTTGACTTCAATCACCACAATATAGCAAACTTTCTCGGGTTTTTTCTTTGGTATAACAGTTGAAACAAAGGACACCCCCCCTTGGCGTTGGGCGTCATCAGCTCAACTATATTACATTGGAGATTCTCTCCTTATCCTTTTAACCATCTGGAAAGTGGAAACATTTAATCTTCTATACAAATGTATACCAAGAGTTCTGCATGACCGAACTTCACTAATAGATGGAAACTGTGACTATATATTTTCTAGCTTTAAAAAAGGATTATCAAGGGGCCTTGCTTTTGCTGACATAGTGCTGCATCATTGCCCTCTGTATCGTCATAAAAACTTGTTCCTTTCTAAAGTAAGATTACCTATTCATCATCACGGTGGACGAAAGTGGTTAAATATTATACCTTTTATATCTAATTGATCAAAGCCTGATCAAAGTATTCTAATTGATATTTAGTGTTTAAATCAAGACTTGACTTTTAGAAAACTATGTTGTCTTGCTACAATAATTTGTTACGGTGAATCTTATTACGGTATTTTTCCTGTGATGATATTATAGTTTGTAGTCAATTTTACAAAATTTCTAATATAGAAGATATACCGTAATGACAACTGCAGAGTATATGTCATTACTTATTAGGTATAAACAATGTTATCATACTAAGGCTAGTACTAGAAAGAAAGAGTAATCAAAAAGAGAAAACTTAGAAAAGCATAACTTAAATTTCACAAAGCACAGTATTACAATGCTAAGTTCTAACATTTAAGTTTTGCCTTCTTTCATGGTGAAAGGGTTACAATTTATAAACAAACAAAGCACATTATTTAGTTGATCTAAATTCTAACAACGAATATACCGTTAACGCAATAAAACTTTTGTTTTTCTTAATTTATAACTTTTCGATAAATGACATTTTTAATGTTTTACAGACAAGAGAAAGTATATATCCCTAATCGCATCATATGCATACAATTACACTATTGCACTCACATATAAAATTGAAGTTTAACTTCTTTTGTTAAATTATATTGCGAACTATAATATCATATTTTTATAGAAACCAACTCTAATAAATTCACACTTTAATTATATAAAAATCTAATAAAAGAAGTTAATAATAAAGAATTAGGGTTAGGGAGCAAGTTTGAGGAATAAACGTCAGAGACCGAGTGGGGCTTACTTTTTGACGTTCATGGTTTTTCCTCTACAATTTCTCTTTCTTTTTGGCAGATTCCTTTGACTCTTTCCTACTTCTGAAAGCTCCTCATAAATTTCCATTTCAACTATTTTGTTAGGTCCTCTCTGATATAAATTCCCCTAACTCGCTCAACCATCTCAATTTGTCACAAGCAACAAAAAAGGAGAGTAACAATGCGGCTCCTGATTGACTTGAGGTATACGTTTCCTCCACTGCTGAATTTATTCTCGTTTCTGTCCTTGACATCCCAAAATGAGCCTGCATTTCTGCCTGCTGCTTTCCTCACTGATCAGCCCATTTCCATCTTCGTGCTTGCGTTCTTGCTTGTTGCCACTTTCTTAACGCTACTCTTCCTCTTCTTCTCTGTTGAACTCCATCTCACCCCGCATCCCATCAGCTTGCGAGCTAGAGGTTTCTCCATTGCCCTTTTTATCTCACTCGTAGCCGCAGGCTTTCTTCCGCCTTCACTCTTCTGGCTTGTCTATTTATTCATCTTGATCACAGCTCCTTGGCACGACAAACTGTTTGATCTATTTATACGCTTTTTCCGATGCTTTGCTCTCACCCTTCAATCCCTTCCGACATTTATGATCAACATTACGCAGAATCATGAAAACCCAGACCCATCTTCTCCTCAGGTCGTTGATCTTGAAGTTGGAACTGTAGCAATCGAAGGAGGACGTCAACCCTTGCGGAGTCAGCAAAGTTCTGAACCTGACGGCGTATACTGAATAAACGAATCGTATGAAATGGTGCTTGAATTCACTTTACGCATATGTAAATGTAGTGAATAAAGGAAGCACGGAGATTCTACTTTCTCGTTAGTCTTACTTCTTTTAGAACTGTTAGTGTAATCTAATTCATGGTGTACTTTTCGATTTGTTTCTGTCAAAATCGATCACGCATTGAGCATCTTAAACCTTGAATGACCTGGATACAAAGAATCATTCTGAGCAAAATATAAATTCAAATAAATAAACAAGTAGGGCTGACAAAGTTCAAAATTTGTCCCAATTTAATCCTATAATGAATAGAAATCCCCTGCCAGACAGAGAGGTGCCCGGGGCCTCTCTGCCTTTCTAAAGTGAATAGATTGCCCTTCCTTTCTGTGACATATCGTATAGCTTGTCATCATTAATAATTTTTTCCATGTATGTCACTGTCTTTCTTTCTATACTTACTGTTATAAGGTTTTATGTTAAATAAACGAATCCTTGTCCTAAAATGCAGACAAAATGTCGAGGAAATTTAGAGTAACTTTTTGTTGGTCACAAATGAGTAAGTTCTGTGCCAGTAGCCTCACCGGTCTCTCTAAGTAGGGTTGTTGACGGTCCACATGGTTTTGTCTGTGATCTAGATGACTAGAACAGAGGTGTCATTGTCACTGCTTGAGGGTTCGTGCCACAGCAAGAGGTCAGCAGTGGCACTATGTGGCCCGAGGACTTTCGCACGTGACATCTACACTTACTGGTGACTTGACCTTCAATTATCAGCAAATGAGAAACAAGTACTACAACCCAAGACTCCATCAAAAGTTTATGGTTGCAAATTAGACATCTAAATCCAAGATATTCTTGCCAAGTTTGCCACTGTGCCACAAAACCATGGCTAGCTACTTCGTTCTGAGCATTAAGAATCACTTTCACAAATCTTGTAGCAGAAATGAGCCCCTTGATCTGCAACTATTTTCCTTCCATTGTATCAAGTGTCAAAAGAAAGAAACTAAGAAAGCTGCTAACCAATGTGGAATGATGACGCTTTTAACCAGAATATGAGCTCCGATCATGAGCATGTCCTTCACTGCGACTTGATGGCTACAAGTTTCATAAGCACACTCCCTCACAGTTTGTGAATAAGAAAAGCCCCTGGATGAATCAATTGAGCTTCCATGTGTGCTCTCATGGGAATTTTCCAACCCGAGAACAACAATCAGAAACTTTACTTCGACTAATATATTATCCTAGAGTGACTTACAATCAACTTACAAAGGGCTAGTGTCTGATAATGGAAATTCCGATATTGCTTCAAGGTTTAAATAAAAAAAAAAAAAAACCGTTTAGGGCAAGTGAGGCCATGCTTACAAATTATATCTGTAGCGTCATCATCTATTTTCATCAATCCTCCCGCTCCACAAGGTGATCGATGACTCCAAACTCCAAAATAAGCCGGTATTTCTGCTTGCTGCTTTCCTCACTGATCAACCCATTTCCATCTTCATGCTTGCGTTCTTGCTTGTTGCCATTTTCTTAACGCTACTCTTCCTTTTCTTCTCTGTTGAACTCCCTCTCACTCCCCATCCCATCAGCTTGCGTGCTAAAGGTTTCTCCGTTGCCCTTTTTATATCACTGGTTGCCTCAGGCTTTCTTCCGCCTTCACTCTTCTGGGTTGTCTTTTTGTTCATCGTGATCGCAGCTCCATGGCAAGACAAACTTTTCGATCTATTTATACGCTTTTTCCGATGCTTTGCTCTCACCCTTCAATCCCTTCCCAAATTTATGATCAACATTACGCAGAATCATGAAAACCCAGACCCATCTCCTCCTCAGGTCGTTGATCTTGAAGTTGGAACTGTAGAAATCGAAGGAGAACATCAACCCTTGCGGTGTCAGCAAAGTTCTGAACCTGACTGCGCACAGTAAATGAACGAATCATATGAAATGGTTTTTGAATTCACTTTACGCTTACCTAGATGTAGTGAATAAAGGAAGCACGGAGATTCTACTTTCTAGTTAGTTCTAGTTGTTAATTGCTAAGATGCTGTTAGAGATGGGGCAGAGCCATTGGTTTCAGCATCGGACAGGCCCCGCGTCGAGGACGACCAAAAAAAAGTATTGGTTAATTGCTGGCTCTGTTTAATTTGGCACCTAATGCCCTCCAGACAAAACCTTTGGAGAGTAAATGCTTTTGGCGGAATTTTAGGAAACACTCTGATTCTATACCTTCTCCTAGAAATGTTAGTACAATCTAATTCATGGTGAACTTTTCGATTTGTTTATTTCAAAATTGTCCACGCACTGAGCATAAATCTTAAAGCTTGAAAGACCTGGCAAATATAAATACAAACAAATAAGCGGGGCTGACAAGTTCAAAATTTGTCCCAAGTTAATCCTATCATGAACAGAATCCCCTGCCATGCACTTAATGTATAAATTCTTGATGAACCCAAATCGTAAAACTAGAGATTAA